AATCAGTTATAACAGATGGGTGGTCCCGAAGTCCAACTGTTCTTTGATTAATAAAACTAAGAAAGGGAATTTAAAAATATAAAGGAAAGAAACAACCCCCCACACACATACTGCTACATTCCCATAAAATTGTACTGTAAATCAAGCTGCTCTGAAAGTTGATCTGACAAACTGGTTTTCACAACAGATATTCAGACTCTAACACAGATGGGAAAGATCCAGTTCACATGTGACTAGATTCACTAGAAAGCTAGATGCACCTAGCTTTCTTTTCCATGTAAGGAGAGCATTCAAAAGGAGGGTTAGTTTTCTGGGGAGTGTTAATTTACACTCTCACATTACTTAATTGAGTTAAGAACTCAGATTCTGGCTGTCCCTTATAGTTTAGACAATCAGCAATACACAAATGGCTTCAGAAGTGCCTCAAAGAAACACTTCAACATTTTTTTAAAATTACTTCAAAAATACAGCTTATCTTGCATAGTAAGGGCTTTTTGCCATAGCTAATGGATTAACAACACTGAGAAAACACATTTTCCATAGGAGTACCTTTTTTGATGTATTCATTTATCCATGCATTCAAAATAAGTGAATTGCCGCTGTACAAGAGACAGTCACAAGAAAAATACAGATTCTACTTTCTATCTACTTGCATTTTGAAATAAAGTAACAGAATAGATCTCTCGTATGTGTTATTCTAGTTGGGGAAATAGAATACTATAGAAAGGTGGGAAAAGGAAAGTGGTATATTACATAATATATAGGTTCGTTGTAGTCTCCCTATTTACATATCCTCTTGTAAAGTAGATGCTGATATTGGCTAAGAACCTTATCATTCAAAAGCAAAACAAAATAAATGTTTACCAAAGGAAAATATTGCCTTAATATATTAAATTTTCAATGGGCTTTTCTTTTATACTTAACTTTTTAAAAAGTTTTACTGATGGTTTTCTCAACTTTTGTCAATCATACTCTCAACACTTGTGAGCACAGGAAAATCACAAGCAGACAAACATCAGAGAATTATTTAAAGAAAAATATGTGTCTATATCATGATAGAAAATGCTAAACACATCCAGAGAAATAATTTAGGAGTCTGAATTCTGATCAAAGCATACTGTTTTATTTTTTGTTTGTTTGTTTGTTTTTCATTTTCTTGTGGGTTTTCCCTTGTGGGGTTTTCTTGGGAAAGATATAGGAATGTTTTGATATTTCCTTCTCCAATTTATTTTACAGATGAGAAAAATGAGGCACATAGGGTGAAATTACTTGCCCAGGGTCACACAGCCAGTAAGTATCTTTGACCAGATTTGAATTCAGGAAGATGAGACTTCGTTACTCCAGGCAGGGCACTCTATCCACTGTGCCATCTAGTTGCCCATCTCTTCTAGGAGTAGAAAGAGACAAATCCCACCAGACCAAGCACAGCTACTCCCACAGAATTGCTCAAAGTGGAGTCTTTCTCTTATCTTCTTTTACCTTGTCTCTCTCCCATTCTTTCTTAGTAAGGAGCTGATTGCCTAAGGGAGCAATCATACATATTCTTCTTCTCTCCCTCTTCTATTCTCTAACTAGTTCGTTTTGAAGATTTTATCAGGCACAATTTATTACAAAAGGCCCATTATTCTACAGGCAAAAGAAAATTTCTAAATTGAGTTTAAAGTTCTGCCTGTTAGGAGGTTTATCTAAATGTATGCATTATTAATAAAATTAATAACAGAACATCATGCTTTAGTTAGACATCCTTTAAGAATTAACCAGAGACTGGAATCTCTTTTCCATATTCAATCCTGTATTCATTTAACGATTGGATCTTCTGTTAACAATTTCCAACCCCTTCAATCCAGTGAGGTACAAATATTCACACTTAGCTTTTATAAGTTTTTTTTCTTAGTTTTTTTCTACTTAGAATAGAAACTAGAACCAGTATAACATAACAACTTAAGGCTGAGTAAATAAATCAGAAGTTCCTGAAAAGTATTTCCCAAATATGAGGAGGGACAGGGGAATTGGAGAAAATAACTTGTTGATTTTCCTCCCCCCCCCCTTTTTTTGGAGATGACAATTCCAATAACAAGAAGTCTGAGTTTTATTTTTATTTTCTGCTCAGCAAAGACTGCCCTAAGACAAAGCAACCACATTCAAATATCTGACCTGAACTGTGCACCATTAGATGTACCTAAAGCGCCAGTTGCCATAGCTCTGTCCCTTAGCACCCCAACTCATGCTGCTACTACTGAAAACTCACTTCTCTTTCTGTTACTAATCAGTTCAAAATTTCTGAGGCTGGCAAAAACCCACTCCCATTTGGTCAAAGTCAAGGGAAGATATCATCTCCTTCTGGGCTAAAAAAAGAGGACAATGAGCCCCAGGAGTCTCAACAAGGATTTAGACTACATCCTCCACTTATAAGGACATTTATTTAATCGAAACCCTTTCAAATATTTATTACATTTTTAAGGAAGATTTAAATAAGAGTTTAACTTCAAAAAGCAGTCTGTTTAAATCATGATTAGTCAGAAAATTCAATTACACACAACACCTCACCCCCTGTATATTCTGTCTAATCACGGTTTGGTCCATACTCCCATATCATGAAAGACAACTCCAAGAATGCATGTATATATAGGTGTGTGTATGTATAAATACACATCTATACACACACATAAATAACTGTATATATATACATACATGTATATATGTGCATTTATATATCAAGTCTCCCAATTGAATATATTTCTTAAAGACAGATACTATCTTTTTCTGGCTTTAATTAATTTTTATTGAAAAATAACTGTCATTTATCTAACACTACAAGCTTTGCACATCTTTTTACTTCCCCCTTTCATTCATTGATTCATTGATTTATTTCTTTTATTTATCTTTGTCATTCATTTTTAAAAAGTTTGAGTTCCAAATTCTCTTTCTCCCACTGAACCCTTCCAAACACATTGAAAAGGCAAGCAATGTGATACCCATTATACATGTGAAATCATGCAGCACATATTTACATATTAGCCATGTTGCAAAATTAAAAAAAAAGAAGAAAAACACATAATTAAAAGAAAAATATGCTTCGGGGGCAGCTAGGTGGCACAGTGGATAGAGCATCAGCCCTGGAGTCAGGAGAATCTGAGTTCAAATCTGGACTCAGACCAAATACTTGACACTTACTAACTATGTGACCCTGGGCAAGTCACTTAACCCTAACTCCCTAAAAATAAAAATTAAAACAAAACAAAACAAAAATATGCTTCAATCTGCATTCAGAGTCCATCAGTTCTCTCTCAGGAGGTGGACAGCATTTTTCATCATGGAACTTTTGGAATTATCTTGGATCATTGCAATGCTCAGAATAGCTAAGTCTTTTACAGTTGGTCATCATTAAAGTATTGCTATTGCTGCATACAATGGTCTCCTTGTTCTACTCTCTTCACTTTGCATCAATTTATATGAGTCTTCCCAGATTTTTTTTCTAAAACCATCTACCTCATCATTTCTTTTTTTTTTACCTCATCATTTCTTATGGCAAAATAGCATTCCATCACAATCGTATATCTACAACTTATTTAGCCATTCCCCAATTGATAGACATTCAAGAGGGCAGAGATTTTAACTTTTTTCTGTCTTTATATTCTCAGAGAACAGTGCCTTACATATAGTAGGTATTTTAAAATATTAATTGATTAATTGATATCTTCTTTGTTTTCAAAGCCAAAATATTTACTTGATATTAATGAAGTTTATTTCTCATTATAAAAATAAATGAATATGTACAGTATATATTTTGCTATCCCACTTAGTCATACTGAACAGTGTTTGTAATTTAATTCTTACCAAAACCTCTATAGGTTACTTCAATTCACTGAACTGTATTAAATACCAGCATTTTAGTGTCAAGGAAGAACCATAGGGATTTTCTAAGTCATTCCTCTCATTTTACAGACAAGAAACAGAGTTGCAGAAAGGTTAAATGCCTTGAGCAATCATACAACTATTTAGTTGAAGAAATGCCACTAGAACCAAAATTTCTTGACTCTTAATCCAGGGCTTTTTCTTCTATATCTCAGTGTTTCTCAGCTATTTATCAAGGTAGAAAATCAACAGTCTTGCATTTAAATGATATTTTATTCCCCTCTAATGATAGTCTTCCCAAACCACCTATTCCATTTCTATTAATACAGAAGGTACAATATGTACTTGTGAGGTAACTAGAAGGGAATGAAGGAATGAATACCTAAATGAATAGGAACAAATAGTCATATTTACCTATTTCAAGGTCTAATACAAAGGAAAAGGACACACACACACGCACGCACACACGTGTGTGTGTGCGTGCGTGTGTGTGTGTGTGTAATCAGTGATGATTAGAAGAAAATAGATGAAATCATGAGTGTTAAAACTTAAAATCAGCTCAACTCAGTTTAACTAACATCTACTAAATGCCTACCACATGTGAGACACTGGGGATAAAAATGACAAAATGTCTTGTAGGCATCTCCAACTCAAAGTGTTCTATGTAAAACATATCTTTTCCCCAAAACCATTTCTTCTTCCAAAATTTCCTATTGGTATCAAAGGAACCACTCTTTTCTCAATCATCCCAACTTTAAACCTCAGTTTCATTTTCAAATCCTTACTCCATTTTGCCTTGAGGATAAAATAGAAACCCCTACATTTGGCAAATTAAGCCTTTAACAACCTACCTCCTTTTTTTCCTTTCTAGTTTTCTTATACTTTATTCCTCTTCATGTATTCTAAGGTACAGTTGTGTTGACCTATTTATTTTCACTTGCAAAACATACTGCACTTCTTCTCCTGGCTCTGGAATCCTAGTCTTGTCTATTTTACATTCCTGGAACATTCTCCCTCATCACTCCTGATGCTTAGCTTTCCTGGCTTCATTCATGATTCAGAAAATTCCATCTTCTGCAGGAAGCCTTCCCTCTGAGATTAAAATTCATCTATTCAATTATTAGCTTTAATGTGCAGTTATTTACCTGTTCTCTCTCCTGTTAGAACGTGAGCTTCTTAAGTGCAAGGGTAATATTTTTGCCATTTTTTATATCCCCAGTGCTTAGCACAATGCCATCTCCAGTCATTCCAATCTGTATCTTCCCACTGGACCCAGATGGTTCTGGAGGAGAAAGTGAGGCTGGTTATTTTGAACAGCTCTCCCTCACTTAAATCCAATTCACTTGCAAGTCATGATATCACCTTCCTGATAACATGGTCCTCTTCAAGAACAGAGGACAAACAACAATGACACACAAGTGCTTAACAAATGTTTATTGATTAAATGACAGACAATCTAATCCAAACTAGAACAACCCCTTAATCCTTTCAAAACATCTATCTTTCACTTGAAGATGTCAGGAAAAAAAAGAGCATAAACACAAATATTTGTGACACTGAACATCATAGAGTAAGTATAGAGAGGTCCAGATGAATTTCTTTGAGAAATTTAGGACTGACAATAATTTTTAGCCTTAAGGATCAGGGAAGATTTCATAGGGTAGGTGACATTTCAGTCAGGCCTTAAAATTAAGGAAATATTTGAGAGAAATGATTTTTTTTTCTCTTATATTAATAACCAATTGTTAAATTAGGATTGAGGTTTTTCCTTTTTATTTCCTCATTCAGGAACAAGCCCCTGTCGGCTAGTCACTCATCCTTTGAAGGACATTACTGGTAGATGAGATTGCCCAAATCCTCCAGGTACATGCTCTGTGACCTTGGATGGGACTCTACCCAACTAAAGGACCTTTTAAACACAATCAAATCTAGATGAATTCTTGCTCTTAGGAAATGATTCCCCATCCTTGGAACCATCCATTAGAATTTAGGGTGACCCAGTTTATGAAGCTGAAAACCAACCAGAGTGGTCTGAGTAGAGATGGATTCTTTTGTCCAGATTTCTGGAAGCAGTTGAGTTTTATGATCAAGTCACATCCTCAGCAGGAGGAGCTGAAGACTTTTGGCCCATTTAATGCCTACCTCCTCATTAATTGTTCACCAATCAGGGTTGATTTTCAGCTGTCAAGGATACCTCCTTTACCAAAGGTATTTAAGCACTCAATGATCTCCATGGCTTTGTCTTTGATCACCAAGGGAGACAACAGACCATCAATTTATTGATTATTTGCTAATTTAATTAATAAATTGATTATGAATTACCCAGAAACTCTGCCTCTCAAGCAAATAGGTGGATGTATCCATTTCAGGTATAAAGAGAGGAAGGCTAGCATAAGCAAAAATACAGAGACAAAAAGAAAGGAAGTCAAGAATGAGAGTTAGTGAACAGTTCAGCTTGGACAAATAGTGTTAAAGAAGGCTGGAAAGGTAGACTAAAGTAAAGTCATGTAAACTATACAAGGATTTATTCAGCACTTGCTATACTATTATATGTCAGGGACTGTGTTGAGTTCTGGGAATAAAAAGAATGGAAAATTAAAAAAAAACACTCAGAGACAGCTAAGTGGTGTAGTGGATAGAGCTCTGGCTTTGGAGTCCAGAGGACTTGAGCTCAAATCCAACCTCAGGCACTTAACACTTACTAGCTGTGTGACCCTGGGCAAGTCACTTAACCCTGAATACCTCACCAAAAAGAAAAAATAAAACACTCAACAATAATCCCTACTCTTTTTTTCCTTTTTTTTTTAGGCAATTTGGATTAAGTGACTTGCCCAGGGTCACACAGCTAGTAAATGTTAAGTGTTTGGTCTGAGGCCAGATTTTGACTTCAGGGCTGGTGCCGTATCCACTGCGTCATCTAGCTGCCCCATAGTCCCTACTTTCAAGGAACATTTAAATGGCAATTAATACCTGCAATTAATACTATTAATATCCATTATTGCTAGTAATAGTAATGGATACTACTAATATCTAATTGCCAATAATGAATAGCAATAAGTACTACTTTGGGGACCCAGCAAAGTTTTTGAGTAGAGAAATGATAAAATCATAGCAATGAAGTAGGAAGATTACTTAGGTGAGGGTTAGAGGTATTATGAGCCCATGTTTGCATAGTGGGATCAAAAACAAGAGTACAGATTTGTGAGATAACAGAGGAAGGAGGGAATTGAGTGGGGAAGGAAGAATAACAAATCATTTGAAGTCTGAAACCTAGCTAACTAGAAGACTTGCAGTACTGTCACCACAAACAATAGATTTTAGAGGATGATAATTTTCTTTTACGACATGTTGAGTATCAGGTAACAGCTAGTGCATAGCATGAGGAAGAACGTGTAGAGAGAACAGAAAAAAAGTACCAGAGACAGGCTATTGTGGGAACATCCATACTTAAGAAATAGGAAACAGCAAAAGAGACAGAGAAGGACCAGCCATAACTAGAAAAAGAAACATATGCTACAGTATCATGGAAGGAAGAGAGGGTAACAAAGAAGGAGTGAGTAATAGAATCAAGCAATGGAGAAACATATGAAGACTGGTAATAGTCCATTGGGTTTATAGACAAACCAATAATTTGAAAGAACAGATTCTCTAAATTGGTGGGGGTAAAAGCCAGAGAGCAGATGAATAAGGAGTACATGTGCAATGAGATACTAGAGGCAAACAAGTATAAATCATTCTTTCAAGAACTTTGGCAGTGAAAGGGAGGAGAATCATGGTATGATAGCTTGAAGAAATAATGGGGTCAAAGAAAGGTTTTTCATTTTGTTTTGTTTTGTTTTAGGGCTTACGGGCATAAAAGAGACCTAAATACATTTGTAGATAAAGGAGAGAGAGCCTGCGGAATGGAAAAGAGTGAAAATGTATGAAAGGGTGGGAGGATGATTAATAGAACAAGAACCTGTAGGTCACAGGAGAGAAGGGGTTCAGAGAACAGATGGAGGACTTAGTTTGGGGAAGGTGAATAACAAAATTCATAGGCAAAAATAAATTTTGTCTCTTTGACTTTGTTAATCCTAGCTTAGATGATCAAGTACACCATAATAAAGTCATTCAAATGATATATGTTTGCATTTTTTCTGGAAACTATATGTTCCATTTTCCCCCCAGAAAAGCCTCAATTTTAAATATCTCCTATTCTACCCTGTTGGTCAGTTTTAGAAATCTTTCTAGCAGGGAGTGACGTCTAGAGATTTGACTACAGGAAAAAAAAATTGTTATGGCATTTTTTTCTCCAACACACATCTAAATGATCTCTATATTCAATATTTAAGCCCATATAACTTAATGAATCAAATAATAATAATAAAAATAAAAATATACATAAATCTCTATAGCCAAGTTGCTGGGGATGGGGAAACTTAAGAATATGTTAATGTTGTATGCTCATGTTACATATCTTGTTATTGTAATCATAGTATCACATGCTTTTCAGGATTCCTGAGGGAGGAGGGCAAGCTGGAAAAGTAACATGTAACTCTAGTTAAGGAAGTAATTTCACATTTAACTGATAGGATTTTGTGGTAAGATTATATCACAGAAGTATCTGAAGACTGATGGCTTGATCTCAATTTCTTATGAATTTGAAAGGAATTATACCAATCAGAAATAACAGAAGGTCTAAAGAAACTGATATAGGTGCACAGGGTTCTCATCAACCAATTCAGCTAGAAAAAAAAATCAAATATAAAATGATAAGAAAAACACACAGTTGAGGATGAACAGAAAAATGTGATGTGATAACATAAGAATGATGTCAGGGCCAATAAAAGCCAGGATGATATAAGACAAAAAATGAATGTTAATTTTTTTAAAGGAGTTTTTAGATATTTGGGGCTAAAAAGACTAAAACTGAATGCTGAGTGGATGAGTTGATAACACATGATGGAGACAAGGTAGAAATAATTATTCTTCAATATATGATTTTTCCCCTTCTTTTTTTTTCTCCCAAGGAAAATGCCTCTAGACTAAAAAGTACAGAATAAATATAGTCAAAGGGGAATTTAAAAGGTAAGTGATAAGATTGATAGAGAACACTCTCGATGAACTGAAGTAATTAAAATCAAACCAAATCCATCACAGGGTCCTAAAGAGACCTTGAATTTATGACTATCAAGTTGTTGTTGGTGATTGATGAAAAATCAACATGAGTAAGAAGTACTGTTGTAAAATTGAAGAAAGTCACCTGTTGCTTTTAATTTCAAAGAGTAGAAGAATATGGATACTTAAAACTACAGGTCAGAGAAATGACAAGTTTATTTATTTTTTCCTATAGCATACAAATTGTGAACTTAATTATCAACAGATACAAACACAAGGTACAAAGGAAGAGGGAGAAGACTATGTAAGATACTGTGGACATCTCTGTAGACTTTTTAAAGGAACATAAACATTGTTCCATAAATACCATCTTCCATTCTTTTTTTATTATCTTCCATGTTTTTTTTTACATAAATGTTTTATTAATACTCTTTTTTAGGCTATCCCTATCCATTCTAAGCCACTTCTCCCCAATGGACCAAAAGAAACCCACCCACCCACCCCCTTTACATATATGTATAGTTAAATAAATTAATCACATTAACAGTGTCTGAGAATGGGGGATATCATTTTGTTCCTCTGTTGAACCCTTGACCCAGATTTCCCACATTTTGTCTCAATCTTCTATTCTAAAAGAAATATTCCTTTTAACCTGAAAACAAAGACTGGTGATGATTTCCATGAAAGTAAAGTTGCATTTTTTTAAAACAAAATCACACTGGAAGAAAAAAAAGGCTCTTTGGCCTCCATCATCTGATCTAAGCAATGTTTTATTTTTTGTTTTGTTTTCTTTCTGGAAATGCCAATACTGCCTTTTCCTCTCCCTTACCATGCCTGGTCTCTGCAAATGTACTAGTCAAAGAAAATGTTCTACACTGATGTGATCTACAGCAAGGAAAACAGCTGATAACCATCATAAATCTCCCAGCATCTGAGAATAGACTCCTAAGTAAAAGCACTATGCCTTCTGACTCACATATATAAATGATGTATTTTCCACCAGAGCTTCAGCTCATCTCCATAATCCACATCACTACTGAGAAGATAAAGTGAGGAAGGCAGTCTTTCCAATGCTTGGGCTAAAACAAAATAAGCTGCAGTTAATCATTTATCGACCTCCCAAAATAATAGGCCTGGAAAGTAAATACCAGCAGTAGTCTGCAACG